GAATTTGCCATTCTGATAAGCCTTGCACTTCTAGAACTAAAATTATAAAATGAACATTAGTTCCTTTACAAACAAAAAAGTTGTAAGGTGCTTGAAAATGCTCCTGAATCCTCTTCCAAATCCAGACAAGTCACCTTCTATTTTTCTAATTAAGCCCGTCCTTTCATAATCATTCATATTCAGAAAGTGTTTTAAACCAGCTTCTATTCACTTTAATTTTGTTCTTGGTTATTTATACGTGGCTGTCAGAGTTGCAATACTAATTTCTCTGGGATTTACCATTATAGACATAAAAATTTAATAAAATATAATTCCAACAATCTTTTGAGATTTATTATGGAGCTAAATATAATTTATCACTGTTTCTATGAAAAAACATAATCCAGGTTCCAAAAGTCTAAATTGCAAATGAACACAACTCATGTGGATATTCAGGACCATTACATGCTGGGATCTCCAAAGTGTAGGATAGCGGGACAAGAATATCTACTGAAGTCGTGAAAGAAAGTATTAAAATCCCATTTACTTACTATCTCATACTTTTTAACTTTTACTTTGTACTTCTCTTACCATGTTCAAAATATATTTTATTTTAGTACATATTGTTTTGAAAACAAATCAGTTTTTACAGGATGAATTCTCTGAAGTACTTTGTGTATGAACTGGTATACGTGATAAAAATTTGAAGAGAATCAGCAGAGTGTTTACTTGGAGTGATATGATTTAAATTTTGGAAGCTGAAAGGAAATTATTTTAGAGCTTTTTGAAGACTTTCCCCTCCAAAAATTAACATAAAAAGGAGATTATCCTGTTCATAAAATCCCTCAACACAACATGTCTTTTTACAAGTGCCTCCAAATTAACAATTCTCAGCTAGAATTAGAGAACTCCTGGAGCTTGTTTGAATGCAGATTCTTTGGTCCCACACCCTGAGAATCTGATTTTGTAAGGCCAGTGTAAAGTAACAGATGTCAGTAAACAGAGAAAGAGAGGGAGAGAGGGTTAGGGTTAGGATTTCTCCAGCTGAACACTGCTCACTGATGACATTTGGAGCCGGATCATTCTTGGGTGTGGGGTTGTCCTAACCTGTGCACTGAGGATGCTGAGCAGCATTACTGGTCCCTTCTTAATAGGAACACACACTCCACTGCATAAGGACCACCAGAGGTGTCTCCAGAGAGAGGCAAATGTCTCCTGGAGGGCAAAATCATCCCCAGCTGAGGACCAGGGATAGAAACTGTCCAAAGATAACACGTTTTGGGAAATGTCATCCTTAAAAGGATAAAACAATATGACAAAAGTATAAGAATACTGATGTGCATAAGCATACTTTATATAAATTGAAATAAACAGGCTTCCCAAAAAGGAAATCTGATTAGCCACTATAAACTCCTGACAACTCAGCTAAGCTTCTAAGTCAAAGCTCTTCTTATGTAATTTCAACTTGAAGATTCTCTCCCTAGCTTCTATTTTAGATTATTTTTAATTAACTTCACTGGCATTTTGCATCCTGCTATGAAAAGTCCGCCTAATAGTCTCAGAGGACTCTCCCAAGAGAGAAGAGTGCATTAAATCACACATTATCACATTAAAGTATATTCCAGCACTCAAGAGTCCAACAGTCTACATCTTGGCAAATGCAATGTGGTGGGGGTGGGGACAGAAACAGGCTCAAGTGATTCACAATATCCAAAGCCTATTAACTCTGATGCATCTGCCCCAGATGAAAAAGTTGTATTGATTCTCTATTTCAACCACATTCATCACAATGACATATATTTTACAGTGTGTGCGTCTACCTAATCTCTTACTTCTGTGTATGGGACCTTGGTCAAGTCACTTAAATACTTTGGATGCCCTTTCCTTCACCTAAAAAAATGAACACCTTCTACTAAATTCTTTCTCAAGATCCCTCTAGTTTACAAGTCACAAATGCATGAATGAAGCAATTAATTACAAGTCTCTTTCAATTATACAAATTCTAGTAACTACTGCACCAAAGCTCAAACACTTAGATTTTCAATGTTGTTTCATAACACAATGACGTTTAAAGTGCTTCTTAAAAAAGAAAACAAAAATGACAATTGGAGGAACCATATGTAAGACTCATTCTGTCTCAGAATCCAATGTGGTCCAAATTGTTCTTCACCTCTCAAGGAATTTGTACTGAATCTTCACATAAGAAGACAGCCCAATATTTTAAAAGTTAGTCATAAGGCAAACACCTATAATCCCAGCAGCTCTGCAGGCTGAGACATGAGGATCACAAGTTCAAAACCAGCCTCAGATTCTTAGAGAAGCCCTAAGCAACTCAGTGAGAACTTGTCTCAAAATATAAAAGGGCTGGGTATGTGGTTCAGTGGTTATGCACGTCTGGGTTCAACCCCTGGTACAAAACAAAATAAAACAAACAAACCAAAAGAAAACTTAGTCACAAATAGGGAAATCATTTTATATGTCCCGTTTACCTGTTTATTTTCTAATTTCAGTAATATAGGTAACAAATCACTCCTGACAGGTCACATACCCTGCAGGTGTAGTTTTGTTTGAACTGCACAAAAATTAGACTTAGTAATTTCTAAAACTTGCAAGTTTTAGAAATGGAGAAATAACACATAAAAATCCAACTTCCAGTATCTCCTGAAATATCAGAAGTTATTAACTCACATCGCAATGATTGGTTAAAGCTAAAGAGTGTGGCCGCCTGGCCCATGAGCTCTCCAGTTCTCTGAAATCCCATTGTTTCCTATTGTCTGACACCTGTCCTGGTTCCTTCTTACAGCCTGTAGCATGTGAGCTCTTGTCCTTGCTCTATAACAATCTTTGAAATACACAGGAGAGATTTCCATGCTCTCTAATGTTTTTAAAGTAATAGTAAATCCCTCAGAATCACAACAAAAATGCAGAATATTTTAAGAAACAGAACTGTGCTCTCAATAAGGACACCTTTTCTAATTCCTAAATCTAAAAAGTAGAAGGAACTATACTGTAGGATTCTCAGCACCACCTGAAAGGATATAGAATGGAATGCTTTATTTGTTGGGGAGTACAGACTTGTGGATCTTTAAATTACTTCCAATTTTAAGGTCTTATGCCTTGGGATACAGTATGGATATCTCTTTGCAAAAATACTAGATATGTAAAAAACATCTATGTTTAAGTTCATACTTGCAAATTTGCTTAATTTTTCATGGGAAGATTTAGTTCACTTCCTTCTTCATTAAATGTCATTTTCTGTTAACTTTCTTAAAACATTTTTCTCACTTACCTACTCACTCCAAAATAAAGTTTTTAAAATACACGTTACAAAAACCTACCTGTTCAAAATACAATAGTTTAGTAGATACTGAAGATTTTCTTTAAAAAAAAATCAACCTTACATCTATAATTAAATAGATCTCTATTCTTTAAAGTTTTCAGAATTAAATGAATTAAAAGAAAAAAAAAAGCAGTGTATGACAATGTTCCTCTTGAAGCTAAGGTAATTTTCTGATATATACATTACTAGTTTCCAGTCTGAGAGCCTGTGTGTTACATACAGCAAAGGTTCTACTTCAGGCCCTTTTAGATGCCCTGCTTCTTAAAGTCAGATCACATGACACCAGGCAGCTTTGCATAACACAGGTGCATTAAGTACTATTGCAGATTCTTCCAGCTGATTTTAAAAATGCATACTAATAAAGTTGAATATCACACATATTAACTATTTCCAAATCAAATTGTTTTCCTTGGGTGTTTGATGTTGATTTTTGACATAAGCATTGTTTAACAATAGTGATTAACAGCTCAAGTGGGAGCATAAACAGCCCATCAATGAGTAGATATGACTACTGAGGGCATGCCTAATGACAGGAAAATGATTGTGTTGACAATACAATGTGTAGAACATGGGTTGCTTCTGGGAAAACATATGTTTATCATTCGAGTTCTCTGCTTTTCTGCAGCTAATCATTTTTATTTTTTCTGTTTAGAAAAAAAATGAGTCACTCTTTCAAAGCAAATGATAAATGTAATTCAATTTAACAGCCCTGGATGCCAGAACATTTTAATTTAACCATGGATGTTTCCTGCTTTTATCTAGTGTGGCTTGAACATTAACTTCTTTTCCATCTTTTGGTAGTTTAAAAAAAGAAAAAGCAAAAAACCAAGAAACTCATTACATTATTATGGGGGTAGGAGGTAGCTATCAGATATGCTTAAAGTCAAGACTGTTTGGTATATTTTAGAGTCCTGGAAAATTATTTCGTGTTTATCAGTCTCAGAATCCTTTACATTAAAATGGTCCTTAAAGAAAAATGTATGAAAAAATGTAAGACCCAATGAAAACATTAAGGATATTACCTCCAAGAGAAGAAAGATGTTGTCTAACTTTGTTAAAAGCTTGTTATGGAAGTTCCCAAGAAACAGTAGTATTTTCTCTTTGGAAGAACACAAAGGATCTAATTCATTCTTGGAAAACGTTTCTTTTAAAATACTTGTTTATTTCAAAGCAAAACAATTATTGAAAACATACGCAGGAGTCATTCCAAAGTAATTGGTCACAGAAACCTGGATTATCAACCGGACTGCAGAGTACCCACAAGGAACAGATGAAAAGGAGAGCGCACACATGTTCGTTGGGGAGCTGGAGGCCATCCTGAATCTGAGGGCACCAGGACTGAGGACACCTAGGGAAATGCTTCCCAGCCCATACCTCTGAGTCTTAGGCCCAGAAATGCACATGCTTAAGGAAGAAGCAATCCTGTCATCCTGTTTCTCCGCAACCAAAGGAAGGGGGAGTGGAGGGACCAGCCCATCCCGCCCTCCTATCCGGTTGTTGATCTAAGGCAAGAATCCTGGGCGAACTCGCTTGAGTAACGCGAACTGTGCAAAAGTTCACAACTACAAGATGGGAATGGGTCCTCAGAGCACCAAACCACCCTCCCCATCAGTACACCGGGGACCCAACTTTAAAACGCAACAATGAAAAAGAAGCTCACAAGTTGCGAGCGCGCACTCACCCTGGGCGGGGGAGCCCAGCCGGCCGCCGCCCGCCTCGGCCGCGCGCTGCGGCCCCGCGGGCCCGGGAGCCAGGGCTTCGCCCGCGCTGGACATGGGCCGCTGCACCGAGCCCGCCGCGCCGCCGCCTAGCTCGCCGCCCCGCGGGGCGCACGGAGGAAGGCCTGCTAGGTGTCGAGTGCAGGGAACCGACTGCTTCTGACGAAAAAAAAAAAAAAAAAAATGTTTTTAGAGAAGAGCACACTCCGCCTGCGGGACATTCCCTCCCCCTCCGCTTCCCTCCCTCAAACTCCTCCCCGGGGAAGTTTTGATATGAAACCTGCGAGGAAAACTGCTCAGAGTACAGTTGACAGCGGCCGAGCCCAGGGGTGTTGGGAGGGGGCTGTAGGAAGAGAGATCGGGCGGAGGAGAAGCTGGGGGGGGGGGGCGCCCCCCCCCCCCCCCCGGTCCCGGCCGGGTGCCACCACCTACCTCGGCCACCTACCTCTGCATCCCCCCAGTCGCTCAAAGCCCCTTCCTCCGCCTCCTCTTCCGCCCCGGAAAGTTAGCGAGGCTCTGGCAGCGGCCGCATCTCGCCCTGGTGGCCTGACGACGGCGGCGGCCGCCCCTGCGCGTCCCTCCCGCCTCCCTAGGGTTCAGCCCAGACGTCGCAGTGGCGGCAACTGCGGCAGCGGCGGCGGCGGCTCTGACTCCGCGCACTCCGCCCCCTCTTTCCAGCCAGCTCACTCTGGCCAGCTCCTCTCCGACGAGGACTTTTGCCCCCCTCTGTCTCTCTTTCCCGCCTTCCACCACTCCTACACTCCTCTCAAACACTTCTCCCTCTGTTGCTCCTTTTCATCACATCCGGATCGGGGAGGACTCGAACTCTTGGCAGCGGGCCCTGGGCTCTGCCGCGCGCTCCCTCGCGCTGGGAGCTGTCTGGGTCAGGAGGCCAAAGCCGGACAGGGCTGGCGCGTGCTCCTCACTCCAGCGCTGCGCCCACCCGAGCTGGGAAAAAAGGAGGAAATGAGCAGTTTTCTACCTGACCAGTCGTCCCCTCTACCCTACCAGGAATGTCACCCAACTCTGTTCCAATCCTGACCCCAGACCACAATCTAAAGGAGTGCCCTCAGGGGAAGTTGAAACCTTTAAGATGGACTAGGGAAAACGGCAGGGTCGGGGGAACCCACATATCTAACTTTCCTGGTGGGACAGGGAACACGTGAATTTGAAAGCTTGGCTCCAGCTGAGCGTTTAACCTCAGCCTTATTTTTCATTTATTCATTTCGGTCAAACAGGATCCATATCAGGTAAAACCGGTTGCGGTTGCATGAGTCCAGTGCAGACATCTAGGCAAGCAAGATAGACACCCTTGAGGACAAGCTGGCACAGATCCCCAGTCTGACCTGTTGCAGAATGCATTCCTCTCTGGACCACTGATGTCTGTGGGGAGATAAAATGTAGTTGGGAGTAAAAACATGATCAGCGTTCTGAATGTAGCTCAACCTGATGAGCCAATAATAACAGGTGTAAAGTAATTTGCAGAAATAAAATATTTGAATAATATATTCAGATAATTTTTGTTCCTTATGTCGTCGTGAGATAAATGCAAAATTTAGTTGACAAAACCTCGACCAAACAAACTCAATTCTTTTTTGACCCTAAGACTAGAGAGGAATCAGTAATGTTATCAAAATTGAAGAAAATGTACATTGGATTCACCTTCTTTCTATAAGTATCATGAATAGAAGTATCCCAGGAATTTTATTTCTTCAAAAATTAGATTTTATTCCAATTGATTGAAAAGAGCCATCCCTTACCTTTAAAGAGTCAGTGCATTTAAATTTGATTTCAATTGTCCTGAAAACACTGGCCTTTGAAGATTCTTTAGGACTATGTTCTCCAAAACACATTTTGGTAAATGATCTATAATTTACAATCCCCCTCCCTCTTTTTTTTTTTTTTTTTTTAACTTGGAGGTTTCAGATATGGTGTCATAAAGTGCCTTTACTCTCCTAAAAACTTGTAAAGGCCTGGACTATTTGGAATCTGTTGGAAGCAGATCAACTTGGACAAAGACTGTGTTAGTATTGAGAAATGTATGGGAAGACTCTCTGTCTACTGCAACACACTCTGTACTCAAAGGAATTGGCTACAAAGAAGCTGCTCCAGAAAATTCTGTTTTATCCCTTTATATCTCCTTGCCCAACTTTCTTAATTGTCTCACAAACATGCTACAGTCCAGGGATATCAGAAGTGGGTTCTAGAAAGTCATAGTCAGTGGTGAATATTTGTTGATTTAATTTCATATTATGCTTAATGATGCCCATGTGCTGGGTAGTTCAGCAAATACTCCTTCAATTAAATTTAACCATCTTACTCTTTAATGGGGAAGAAACAAAATAAAAATACAAATTTTAGGAACAAATGAGAAGCTGTGTTGTAGAATCACCAAGATGGTCAAACGCTTTATCTTGCTCTTGTATGACTTTGAGCAAGTTAGTAAATCTTTCTATGTTTTGGTTGCCTCATAAAATAATAAGAGAAACTCTCAATAGTGTTTCTTTATAAGACTTAATACAGTAATTTCATAGGATTTGGAAGAATGTCAGATTATGTGGGAAATATTTTAAAAAATATTAATTGTTGGGCTGAGGATGTAGCTCTAGGGCAAAGCACTTGCCTAGCATGTATAAGATCCTTAATTTTATCCTCAGCACCACAAGAACAAATAAATAAATGAACACACACACACACAAACACACACACACACACACACACACACACATCTCAACTACTGTTTTAAAGAAGAGAGTACAACAGTGCTTACCAGATGCTAGGAAAGGTAGATGGAAGAAGGGATGAAGAGAGAATGGTTGAGGGATACAGAGGTACAGCTGGATAGGAGAAATAACTTCTAATATTCTATCACAGTGAATAACTACGGTTGACAACAAGAATTATATATTTAAAAGAGCTAGTGTAGAGGATTTTGAATGTTTCCAACACAATGTAATGATAAATGATTGAGGTGATGGATATGCAATCTGATTATATACATTGTATACACAAACTGAAATATCATACTGTATACAATATGTACAATTATATTAATTAAAAATAAAAATAGTATTCAAAATATTACCTATTATCACAAAAACAGCAGGAGCATTTTGATGGGTAAGGATAAGTATGGCATAATGATTCTATCACAAGGTCCATATCAAAATACCAGGTAATCTGGCTGTTTTAGTCAGCTTTTTCACTGCTGTGACTATAGGATCTGACCAGAACAACAGTAATAGAGGAGGAGTTTATTTGAGGGCTCACAGTTTCATCTGGCCAGCTCCATTCCTTAGGGCTTGAAGTGAGGCTGAATATCATGGTGGAGTGTGTGGCAGAGGGAAGCAGTTCACATCATGGTGATCAAGAAACAGAGAGAGAAACTCCACTCTCCAGATACAAATATATACCCAAAGCCAGGTCCCAATTCCCACCTCCTCCAACCACACTCTATCACTTTAGTTAATCTCATCAAGAATCAACTCACTGATTAGGCTAAGGCTATAACTCAATCATTTCTCCTCCAAACTTTCTTGAAATGTCTCACATATGAGCTTTCTGGGGATGCCTCATATCCAAACCATAACACTTGCCATGTACTTTACACAAACTGTATTAATGAATTGTTCCATCAACCCTATAAGCAAATTGCTAGAATTGCAGTGCTAGAAGAAAAGTTCAAGTTTGTCTAACTTCAAGGCTATCCTGCTTCTCTAGGTAAACTCAGGTCTTTCTAGGGAAAATCTAGGTGTTCGTGAACCTGGTGTCTGTTATACCAAGTGTTACTCTTGGGCACCTGGGAGTTACCCAGGCTGTCTCTGTCCCCATCCCTTGCTTCATTTGCTCATTCTAACTGATCACTTAACTTGGTTCCTAATGAGAACTACAGTGCCCACATCTCATTTGTTCACTGGATGTCACTTAGTGAACATTTATGTTCACCTAAAATTTGTATGTTGAGACTTTAATCCCAGCATGATGTATTGGTGGGGACTTCTAGAGGTAATTAGGTCATGAGACTAGTGTCCTTATAAGAAATACAAGAGAACTTGCTTTTCCTCTCTGTGTTCTAAGCTATAGAAGGACCTAATCACTTCTTCAAACCCCCATTTTCTAATTCTGTCATTTTGATGATTAGAATTCAACATATGACAGGGAACACAGAGAACACAAACATTCAACCAATACAAGGGGATGTATTATCCATGTAATAGTGGATAATATCATAAAAGCTGCTCAAATGTTTTAAATTATTTGGATGCTCTGAGATTGGAACTAGGACATTCAAAAAGGACACTAAGAGTGAGTCTGGCAGTGGGAACTGAACCAGATAGTCAAGGGTGAGAGATGAAGAGGTAGAGGAATCAAGGGCTCTTCCAGGTTTCCACATTTAGGTGGACAGTGGTGGCATCACCTACAGAGATGGAACCATTCCAGAGAAGTAGATTTGGGGGGAGTCCTGCAAATGATGCAGTACTGCAAGACAGCTCGTTGGAACTATCCAGTCTGCAGCAGGATATGTGTCTGGAATACGGGTGTATTGGTGGTAATTTACTAACTTGAAAGTTATGAGTGCCCAAGGTGAGTGTGCAGAGTAAAAAGCAAAGGACCTAAGGCACAGCTCTGCCCCTAAATTCCAATAATGACCTTACTGGCTCCTACCTTTCTCCATACCCTTCCCAGTATCACGATACTGTTATATACCTTCCTTGGAGAAACACCGTTACTTAGGTATGACTATTGCTCATGCCTGCCTATTATCCCAGATGCCCCAGAGGGTGTTCAGTAAGCCAGATTTGCCATGTCTCATACTATATTACCCTGGATGGGTATAAACCTTCCATAGGGACCAGTCTTCCCATGGAGCTAAATGCCCCAGTTTTGGATCAAACAAACCCCTGCCTTTGAAATCCCAGTGTGCCTTATAATCAGTCCTGACTAGTGATGTACACATTAATGATAACAACAGATGGACACACAGTGAAAGAGGTCTGACATGAGCAAGGCAATAAAATAAAGAACTAATTAAACCATTTGTAAAGCATCCTTATGGACCACTTAGTCTTTTATCATTCATGCATTAACACCCATTGAACACTTACTGTGCACTTACTACATGCCAGGCTACATATTAGGTTCTGGAGATACAGAAATTTGATTTGATGTCTTGAAAAGTGGCTAAATTGGTTTTTACTTGAACAGAGACTTATCTGCAGAGCTACAGTCAAAGTTAACATATTTACACAGATATCTAAACCAGAAGTCCACAAGTAGGGTATATAATTGTGTAGTCCTCGGTGGAGGGAGGGGAGATGTGGACCAAA